TACCAAGGGTGCTGGGATCTGAACTTGGGTCACTAAGCTTGTGCAACAAACATTTCACTGAAGGAGCCACCTTTGCAGCCTTTTCTGTGTTTAAACTATGTGTAAGTTTTTCTGTGTGTAAACTTTGCGATCTGAAAAATACGTACTGCTTCCTTTCTTGGATGCCTTCTTTTCTTTTTCCTCCTTGTTCCTCTGGTTAGAATTCCCAATATTCCATTGAAGAAAAGTGGTAAAAGGTTACAGAGATGGAACATTTGCTTATGGGAGAAGGGCAAATGAAAGAGAAAAGTCAAGATTGCCATGGAAGGCTTTAAAGGGGAGGCAGTGACTTAAAGCAGTTAGAGGCACACACTTTAGAATAAAAACAGATCATTTGTTTTGTACTTAGTGATGTGGCCTGGGACAAGTTACTTGTATTTTTAGTTTAGTAGTTTCACCTGTGAAATAGACACAGTACCACTTTCATCATTTGCTTTGAGGTTGGGCAAGAACAAAAATATGCCCTGGGCATTCAAGTACTTAGTTATGTCCTGGATATGAAAAAAGTTTTTTTGATCTTTTCAGAATTGAGAGCCCTTTATTTTCATGTTAACAGAGAGGAAAATGCTATGTTTTTTAATCATGTTAACTGTGATGGTGTTGACAAACATTGAGTACATATGTTTTTTTAAAAAAAAAATATTTTCCCCAGTGTGGCTGTGTGGGGTGTGCTCCCCACAGTACACAGTGGGGATTGAATACAGGGTAGTTCATCTGCTAGGAATGGTGTCTGCCACTCACTGAGCACGTCTTCAATCCCAGTTTCCTGTTGTACATCAGTTTCTTTCAAAACAGCAACAAAATAGTGTGCTTAAAATTCAAATGTTTAAGTGTTGTTATATTTAAGAAGTCTAGTTTTTAAAGCCAAACTTCATAGCAGTAGCTTGCTTTGATAAAGATAAAAGCATGCAGTAGTATAATAACTTTATGCTAGTTTATTTTTATTATTTTAAAATTATATATGTTTGTGTGTATTTACATATGAGTGCAGGTGACCTTGGAGGCCAGAGACATTGGATCCTCCTGGAGCTGGCGACATAGACAGTTGTGAGCTGCTGAAGTAGGTTCTGGACCCTGAATTGTGTCTTCTGTAAGAGCAGTGTATGGTCTTAACTGTTGAACCATTTCTCTAGTCCCAAGTGAACAGAATTTTAAAAACATTATTTGCTATCATTTGTAGAATATAAATGTGTCTTTAGATATGTTCTTTGTTTTCTTCATTAAGACTTCTCAGTATTTCAGGTTCATGTAAATAAAGCTATTAAAACCAACTTCAGTAACTATTGTACGTTTAGAGTATTTCTAGCCAGGGAGTCCCGGCGTCCTAGCCTTGCCTTCCCAGTTACTAGCATGACAGATGTGTGCTACCACACCTGACACATACTTTTGCCTACTTGTTTAAGCAGCAGATATTCATTTCCCAGTGCCAGAAGATCTTAGATTATCTCATTCACTAAAATAAAACAACGAAGAGTTACTTGTAAAGAACATATCTTGCTTTGTTTTCTTTCTTATATCTTGGAAATGCAGCTCTGTCACTGTTTGTCCTTCTGTATAACTGAGTTATTTTAACTTTCCCAAAATAGCTCATGTCTCAATGCAGCTAGCTGTAATACTAGATTTCCCCTACAAGAGAAAGCAAGTTTCCTCTCCACTTAGCCATTTGTCAGCTCCTTTGGTTGTTTCTGCTGATAACTTTCTTTTTACGACTGTTTCTAGCAGTCTTAATATCTTTAAAAATACCCAAAACCAACAGCAATAGTATTGACAGTCTATTTAGTGTTACTGCCAAATTACAGTTCTTATTAATTCATGTCAGACACACAGCTATATATAACTTTGAAAATATTTCACCTTTTCATCTTCATGGTAGAGAATGGTAGAATTGTGTTTTGCCATTTCTCAGATCTCTTACGCAGTTTCAGAAGAACGGAGATCCAAGTATAACTGCTTTTTAAACTGGGCACTTGCTAGGAGGCCTGGAAGTGACTCCCAATGAATGACACAGTAAGGAGCTTTGAGTTTTGTCTTGTTGATAAAGTACTGTTGTGTCACACTGTATAACTGTGTGTGGCATCAAATTAACCAAAATTGTACTGCAGTGATTTAGACAACTCAATTTGTATAAACTGAAAAGGACAACAAATAAATCTTTCTTTTGCAGTTCACAGAAATTTGATCCTACGAGTTGAGGCTAAAAGATGTGTGTATAGTACGCAGAGTGAGATGAGGGAGTTTAAAATGATTCATGTTATGACGAATTACTAGAGGAAAAGTAGAACTTGAATGCCAGTAGGACAAGGTAATAGATGTTAACAAAGAGAACTGTATTCCTTTTATATGTATTTATTTATACTTTATTTATACTCTGTCTTTTATGCTAGTAAGTTATCTTCTTGAATCAAAGGATATCACTGTTCTAGGCATCCCTCATAGTTCAGCCTTATGGTTAGAATTCTTATCAGCTAGCTCTTATTTGTAAGAAGTAATCCCAGGAAAGGACTTTTGTTGACCTAGTTTAGAATGTGTGCCTTTTTTCAGTGACCAAGGAATGGGACTTATTTTCTGTAACCAGGGAATGATTACTTCATTAAGCAAGGATTGCTCATTGTGCAAACAGAAAGCATTAATAGTATTTAAAAGGATCAAGGTTTGAACTTATTAAAAGTAGACAGAAATTCCTATAGGTTATTTGTAATGGACAGAAAGGTATTTTGTTTTGTTTCTGTTGCTTCCAAGCTCTAGTCTTTTGCCTAATCTATTTTGATTTAAAGAAAAAAAGCCAGTCGGGTGGTGGTGGCGCACATCTTTAATCCCAGCATTCGGGAGGCAGAGGCAGGTGGATCTCTGTGAGTTCGAGGCCAGCTTGGTCTACAGAGTGAGATCTAGGAAAGGCACAAAGCTACACAGAGAAACCCTGTCTCGAAAAACAAAAAAACAAAAAACAAAAAAAAAAAAAACACAAAAAACTATCAAACAAAAAAAACCCCAAAAAAACAAACAAAAAAAAAAAAAAAAAAAAAAAAAAAAAAAAAAAGAAAGAAAGAAAGAAATAAAAAAGCCACCATACATTGAGTTGACCAGTAATTGGTGCCTACTGTGTTCTAGGCAGTGGAATTCCAAAGAGGGATGAAACAAGTCTCTGAAGATGATCTTAGAGATAAATATATCAGAAAATTTCCTAACTTAGGCTACTAAACATTTCACTTTATTGATAGCTCATATTATGTTACATTTTAGTTTTTATGTGAATATAATTATTTAGAAGATGTTACTCTTATGGTAAATAAGCTTCACAGATTTTCACAAAATGAATACATTAGTGAAGTCAGCTCTCACAGTAACTGCTAGATAGAGTATGTCCACTAACTGCCTAGAAGAGAGGGTATTCCGGAAAGATAAGTTGGCATCTTTCAGGGCTTTGGACCCCAACGGTTTTTTGCTAATGAACACTGTAGCTGTTGTTTTTTTTTTTTTTTATTTCTTTTTTCTAAAAAATAATGGTTTCTATGGCATTGTAACTGAAGGCTAGGAGCACCATTATACTAACAGTGAAGGTGTTCCCTTGTTAGCTTTTAAAAGTGCTGTGGAATATTTTGCAATTCTAAATTATTTTTCATGTAAAATCTCAATTTTTAATCAACATTTAGTAATTTTTAAATGTTTCTTATGATAATAGTGATTTGGGTTATGGAACTATAACTGATTTTGGTACTTGTCAAATTCTCTTCTGTTGAATACAATGAGGATAAAGGCTCCATGCAGCAATAGCTTTGAAGCTTAAATTATGTTTGAAGCTTTCTGTAAAGAAAATTGTGTAAAAATTGTTGTGAATAATAGAAACTGTTGCACAAAAGGCAGATATAAAGTGTTTCATAAGTGTCTTCCTTAGTATACTTCAAAGTTTAGTATATTTTAATATTTAGTTTTTAAAGATTATTTGCTTGTAGTTTAAATATAACAGAACTCCTTTTTGTAAATTTTTTTGAATATTTAAATTTTTTACATTTATTATTTGTGTGTGGGGGGCAATGCATGTGGAGGTAAAAACACTACAAGAGTCTCTCCTTCCACCAAATGGGTTATGGGGATTGATATCAGGCTGTCAGAAGTAGCAAGCCACCCCTACCTGCCAAGCCATAATACTGGCCCGTTTTTTCCTGGCTATATTAAAGACATTCAATTATTTGAAATAGTTACCTGCTTTTAAGATGAACCAAAAAGTATCATTATATCTTTCTAACATGAGATTATGTATCATTTACCCATTTTTGCACTTTTAGAGGAAAAAGGTTTGAGTTAACTTTAAATAGGTAGACTAGAGTGTGTCTTAGTCATAGACAGACTGTCTGGCGTGAGCAAGGCCTTAAGCTTGATCCCCAGCACTTCATTAAAAATAAATTTCAAAAGTTACAAAAAAGTCAGGTAGCTGTGAAAATACTAGTATTTTTTTCCACAATTAAACAAATCATTAAGAATATTACTTGGTAACAGTGTAAATTTGCATTAAATACCTTCATTAATATACCTTGCTAAAAATAGTATAAAAGATAACTAGGTCTTTGTTTACTTGTTTATTTTGCCTCATGATTTTAGGGTCTAGTTCATCATGGAAGACAAGGCATGGCTTGCAGGTCTGCTCTGGCTGCTGCAGTGGTAGTTTTTTTTTTTTGTTGTTGTTGTTGTTTTGTTTTTTGTTTGTTTTGTTTTGTTTTAGGGTCAGGGGTCTTTTTAAGACAGGGTCTCATGTAGCTCAGAATGGCCTAGAACTCACTATATAGTACAAGCTGTTCTCAAACATGCAGCAGTCTTCCTGTATCAGCCTCTTAAATATTTTATTTTTTGAACTTATAGGCCTTGGCCAAATGACTGAATGGGAGAGCAATATCGGATCTCTTTAAAATGGTTGATTGCTATGTAAACGAACTTTGATGTCATGCATCAATTTTTATCTTTTAAAGGAAGGTGCATCTGCCCGTAAGACTCAAACTCCTGCAGCCCAGCCTGTACCTAGACCAGGTAAAAATATAAAAATTTATTTTTTTTCTATTTGGTCATAAAAATGAATGTTTTTGATGTATAGTAATCTGAAGAAATCATTGTCTCACTTAAAATATACTGAAAGACCATTTTTCTTCAAATTAATCATCAGTATTCCTTAAGCAGATCTTAAACTGTGGTAATATACACAAAATACTTAATAAACTTTACCAGCATCATTATTCTTTATATTCTCAGCAGAAAAACTTAAAGAAGTTAGTTAAAATGAATAGTTTGCAGAATCTTTGAAGTCTAGAATCTTAATATTATTTACTGTACTATCTTTTCCTCAATTTGAGTTAAAATTTTGATTACTTATTTTTGGCAAAAGTAACTTAAGGAAGGCAGAGGTACAGTTCATCATTATAAGTTTCTGTGGCAGGACCTTCAGGAAGATGATCACATTGCCCCCATGTAGGAAGGAGAGGCGGGTGAATAGTGTGCTCAGTTAGCTTTCTCTTTTTCATGGTGTATAGGATCCTAGTGCCTGAAATAGTGCTGTCTACATTCAGGGAGAGGCTTCTCTCCTCAGTTAATGTGATTTAGCTAATCTCTTACAGACATTTCTAGAGGCTAGCATAATCTAAACAGTCTTTCAGATATAACTGAATGCTTGTCTCTTAGGTGATTCGAGATCAACCGTTACAGAAATCATCAGTAAAATAAGTGATGGGATGTAGCTAGAGTTTTCCTGCCTTGCCCACAGTCAGGACAAATCTCTCTTACCCGCCAGTCCCACAGCCGCTCAGACCCAACCAAGTAAACACAGAGACTTATATTGCTTACAAACTGTATGGCCGTGGCAGGCTTCTTGCTAACTGTTCTTATAGCTTAAATTAATCCATTTCCATAAATCTATACCTTGCCACGTGGCTCGTGGCTCACTGATGTCTTCACATGCTACTTGTCATGGCAGTGGCTGGCAGTGTCTCCCTCCACCTTCCTGTTCTCTCAATTCTCCTTTCTGTTAGTCCCACCTATACTTCCTGCCTGGCCACTGGCCAATCAGTGTTTTATTTATTGACCAATCAGTAATTTGACATACAGACCATCCCATAGCAATGGGACAGTATATAACAGTAACATATAAACTTACACTATAAGGACATTTGTTTGAGTAATTTCTTTTAGGTGAAGAGTTATAGAACATTTTTAAGATGATTGTTTTTATTTTGGTTAAGATTTGTTTTCAAGGCTATTTACATATGTATTCCTTTACTTAGCAATTTTTCGTTTTAGATTCATGATATTTTTGGTTGTGAACCTAGCTTTTAATGATTGAGCCATCTCTCGAGCTCAAATTCATGATATTTTATGCAAATGTAGATTCTTTTTTTCCTACAGAAGATTAGCATGTATTGGTGAGCACTTAGGAGTTCCACAATCATTTTTTGAAATAGTGGGTAAGGAAGGGTACTTTTGAAGGTATTTTAGAGTTTATTTCTTCTTCTTGGTATCAAAAAAACAATTTTTGCTGATTGATGTATTTATAACCATTTCTGTGTAATCTTTGCCAGAATTAGGAGAAGCTAAAGAGCGCTATGTAGGAAGAAGAAAAAAGTGAAGTAAGTAGGAGTGAGAGGTGACTCTGGGTCTGAAGAATAGTGTGCTTTCAGGAAGTCCAGGTCCGTTCTAGTTGTGTCACTTCTTTGGAAGGGAAGGATAGGAAGTTTTGGTTTGTCAGTCTAATGATGATCACATCAGAAATTCAGAAATTACAAAAGAGGTAAAACAAGACAAAACAAAAATCACCTTGAGATTCTCATCCATTTTTGTATTCTGTGAATTAGTATGAACTCATAGTTTTCCAAAATGAGTATACTAAACAAAGGCATAGAAGGAAGTTGCTGATATGTAATAAGTCACTTTACCCAAGTGTGGTGTGTGTAGAAATGGACGTGAAGGGTGTTGGGGTTTGAATGTGAAATGTCCTAATACTCTCATGTATTTGAGATAGTTGTTTCCCAACAGGGGATGATGCTATTTGGGAGAGTTGTGGAACCTTCATAAGTTGAGGAAAGGCACTAAGGGGTGGGCCCTGAGGCTTGATATCCTGGCCCTCCTTCATGTTCACTGTGCACCTACTGAGTGTGGATGCAGTGTGACCAACTGACTTGCTTTCTCCTCCATGCCTCTCTTGCCTCCTGCTGTGTCCTCCTTGCCCTAATGGGCTATATCTGTTTGGAACTGTAAGCCAAAATAGACCATTTCTCCCTTAGATTGCCTTTGCCAGTTTTTGTTTTTTTTTTAACAGTATGTCTGTGAGTATGCATGTGTGCACACTGTGCATTCCACAGAGCACATACATAAGTCAAAGGACAATTTTAGGGGAGTTGTTTTCTCTTTTTATTGTGTGAGTTCTGGGGATCGAACTTAGGTTGTTCTGCAAAGCCAGCCATCTTGTTTGGCCTTGTCTAGGGTATTTTTCAGAGGAACAGGTTAATTATAAAAAGAGGGTTGTGCTCTATTTAACGTGACAATCATATGTGAAATACCAGGTTGTGAAAATTTCACCTCTTAATATCCTGTGCTTTTTTATGTGCTCTACAAGAACACTGAAGATTTAACTAATAGAAGGAATTAGGTCTAATCTATAATATCTCAGATATTCCCTTGCCCATACATGTGAGATTTCTGCCCTTTTTTTTTGGGGGGGGGGGTCAGGGTATTCTGTAGCCTAGACCAGCCTTAAGTTCAATATGTAGCTGAGGTTGACCTTGAACTCTTAATCTTTCTGTCTCAAGTGCTGGCATAGCAAGCACACACCATCATGCCTTGCCATTTACTCTCTTGCTTATTGTTGATTTGAGATAGAGTCTTGCTTCAAACTCTTCTGCCTGCATTAGCTTTCCTAGTACTGGTACTGTAGGCATGCTTTATTACATTTGGCATCATTAATATTTGACATCCATATACCCACAAGCCTTACCCACCATTCTGAAAGAAATGTAGATTTCATTACTAGATTGGCCTTAAGAACCAGTTCAGTAGATGTTTGTAACTTGGAGTCTTTATTTGTCCTAATTATTTTTGTGAAGCTTTTGTTCTATAGAAATATTAGTTAAATGATATTTCCCAACTTGAAGGGATTATTTTTTTAATATTTGACATGTCTTTACTATTTTTTAAATCTGGGGGGAAAAAAAACATGAATACCCCAAACACACCTGACAGTTTTAATATAATAGATGGGGACAACATAGAATTGTAGTATTTTTTTTAGGTGGGGTTTGGATCATTTGGAAATGTGGAATGAACTACTTAGTCTCCACTTGGATTAGGGACCTAAAGGATGGAATTCCATTTCTGAGCTATTAAATTTATTTTTTAACTTATCTTTGTCAAATATTAGTAATATTGTACCAGAAAAATCCCTAGATATATGTCACCTTTTAAAGTGTTTAACTAAGAATTTCAGATCTTTAAGAAATTTTGGAAAATAGCTAGCTAACACTGGTCATGTGTTCTCTAGTGCATCGAGAAAAAGTCTTAGGTAAGTCATAACTCCACTGGCATCTCCTTAAATCATTTGCCTTTACCTCACCGTTTTAATGCATCACCAACCATATTCAACTTTTCTACCCTAGAACTTATTTATTTATTTATTCATTCATTTATTCATTTATTGTGATAGGTTCTTGCTGCGTAACCCTAGCTGTGAAACTCACTGGGTAGACCACGCCGTCCTTGAACTCTCAGAGATTCTTCTTTCTAACTACGGGGTTTAAAGATGTGCATCACTGTACCCAGCCTTCTTCTAGCTTTAAATTGTTTGTGTATAATTTAGAATTCTTCTTAAGTAAATGAGCTCCAGTGTGTTTGTTTAATATGCTCATGTGAGATTACGATAGTTACACTTGTATATTTTATTAGTTACTTCCCCAATACACTTTTTAATTTTTCATTTATTCATATCTATCTGTCTATCTATCTATCTATCTATCTATCTATCTATCTATCTATCTATCTATCTATCTATCTATCTATCTATCTATCTATCTTCCATTGGTGTTTCACGTGCATGTATGTCTGTGTGAGGCTGTCAGATCCCCTGGAACTGGAGTTAAAGACAGTTGTGAGCTGTCATGTGGATGCTGGGAATTGAACCTGGGTCCTCTGGAAGAGCAGAGGGTGCTCTTAACTACTGAGCTATCTCTCCAGCCCATCATTACGTGTCTTTATAGAGTGGAGATTATTAATCCCTGTCCAGTATGCCGCTGACAAAGGTTTCCCATCTTATAGGCCATTCATTCCTTCTGCTGTCCTCATTGCTGTGCAGAAGCCTTTCATTTTATGTAGTCCATTTACCAGCTGAGATCGGTTTCCAAGCTTTCCTGTGCCTGAGCCCTTAACATTTTCCTGAGTTTTATATCTTCCCTTAAGGTCTTCAATTCATTTTGAGGTTTTTTTTTGGCGGGGAGGGGGGTTAGGGAGTGGGGGTGGGATATATAGGGTGAAAGTAGGGGACTACACGTGGATATTTCCTAGCACCTTTTTTTTTTTTTTTTTAAGAGACTTATCTTCTCCAATGTATGTTTTTTTTTTATACCTTTGTCAAATTAGATGGATATAACTGTGTGGGTTTATTTCTGATTCCCCCATTCTGTTCCTTTTCTCTACATATGTTTGTTTTTGTGTTGGTAGCATATAGTTGCTGTTACTATGACTTTGTATTATAATTTGAAACCAGGTAATTGTTATTTTTGATCATAATTTCTATGGTTAGTCAAGGGCTTTTATATTTCCATGTGAAATTTAGGGTTTCTTTTTTCTTTAGTTCTATAAAAAAATCATTAGAATTTTGATGAGAATCGAATTGAAACTAGATTACTTTTGATTGTGTAGCTGTTTTCACAATATTAATTCTGGAAATTGATCAGTATACCACATAGAGTTCTTACTGTGCCCACTAAGTTTTTGTTTAATTAAGTTTATCAACATGAGTTTCACAATGTCCCTGCTTTGGTGCTTCTGAGGAGCCTATTACTACTTTTTTTGTAGTTATTTGATCTAAACTTTTGAACTTTACTTACATGTGTGAGCTCTGAAAACATTTCTTTTTCTTGTAGTTGGTCTCCTGAGCCCTTATTTTAGTAAATGTTGCTTTACAATTCTGGGTCTATGTGTAGATTTCCTTAGTAGAAATGAAAGAAATCTGACTGAAATGACATTGAGATAGATTCCCTTCCTCATGTCCCTCTCTTTTGTGCCCATATTTCTGTTTAAAATATCATCAGTTTATCCTCCACCGAATGTTATTTCCTAAGATTGTATTATATACCAGATAATATGATCTAGCTACTCAGATTTATTTGTGGTGCTAGAAATTAGTCAAGAAAGCTTGTATATTTCCTTAGGAAGAGGAAAAATGAAATGATTACAAATGTGTGTGTGAGAGCCAATCTCTGTAATGTTGGAAAGATCATACAGTGTACTCTATTGTAACAAAAAAATAACTATGTGGAGTATGAAGAGTTTGTTAGGATGTAGCATCTTGCTCCCTAAGGAATGCATTGTATTTCAAAAAATGTTTATACTCTTGTGATTCACTTACAGCTGGCAACTGTTTCTAAATCTGACATGGAATTTGAGTGTTTTCCTTACTACCCATCATTCACTAGTTTAATTCTGTTACACATAAGGAATGGTTTTGGAGTTGCTGACCCACAATTCCATGTGGAATAACTGTATTGGCTAGATAGTTTTCAGGTAGTTTCTTTTGCAGTTCGTCTTAGAGCCCCACTGACTTCAGTTTACTTGTGTTAGCACCTCTTTTCCCTCCCATCTCCTCCCCTCCCCTTTCCAGGTGGTTCTCATGTAATTACAGTACATTGGATTCTATTACCACATTCCTCAGTCTATCCCGAGATCTTTCTACTCTCCTAAATGATTTGCTTTTTAAATGTTACGGTCTATTCTTTCATTTTCCTGTGAAGTTCCATGGTCTTGTTAAGTGCTCACTGTCTTGTGTTATCCTTCATAGCATCATGCAGAATAAATTTTAAAATTAAACCTACTAGATTCCATGTGACACAAAAAGCATTTCAGAAGATGTTGTTTAGGTAAATAGTGAAACTGAATACGAAGCACTATTCTCTTGTATAAATCATGAATTAAGTTAATGCCATCTGCTAACAAATATTTCTTTGCTGATACATACAGAATAATAAAACCAGAAATACTTTGTGTTTCATAATGCAACCACAATTACCACTAATGAAGTCCTTTACAGACATTATAGAGTAAATAGATTTTCAGAGATAGTTAACTCACTGCTTTTAATAGTCTTTCTCTAACCAAAAATCATTTAAAGAGAGAAAAGAATTTAAAAACTATTTCAGATCTTAATCCCCAGTAACTTCTTTCTCTTTTCTCAGTTTTCCTTTCTTGAATCTACTGTGTTAAATGTTCTTTTAGTACTCAGCTTTTACATTTATACGTTAATCGGTGTATTATAAAACTATATAAAACTTGATCAGATCCAGGCACCCATGAACTAGATAATTAAACTTATATTTATTTGTTTCTTTTTTAATTAATGTATTTATTCTATTATTCATTTCTTATACTAAATTGTTGAGTAATGCTACAGCATTTTAATATTTGTAAAAAGCAGAGGTGTAAAATGTGGGATGTCTTGTGATTTATCACCAATCATGTGAATATCAATAATGTTTAAGCTTCCTTTGTAATTTGGAAATAATGTTTGTTTGTTTTTATAACAACTGTGATTTTTGTTTTTTTCTGTTTACAGTTTCTCAAGCAAGACCACCCCCAAATCAGAAGAAAGGTATGGTATGATTGTGTCTTTGATTTATTTTAGGAGGTAAATGTAGGTGAAATAGGTTTCAAAACCAGGGCTAATATGTTTGTGTACCAATATTGGGTGTATCTGCTTGATATCTTTACTTGGCAGGAAATAAGCCACATGGGTGGCTTATTAAATATTTTTGCCATTATTGCAAATTTAAATTTTAAATTTATTTTAAAATATTTTGGCATGAAAGAATTAAGGTTATAAATTTAAAATTATTTTAATACAGAAAGTAATTCCTTTCAATAATAATGTAATTATTTTTTTTTAACCTTTAAATTTTTCCTTTACAGGATCACGAACACCTATTATTATTATCCCTGCAGCTACCACTTCTTTAATAACTATGCTTAATGCAAAAGACCTTCTACAGGATCTAAAGTAAGTAATTTATACTTTTTTGTTTTTTGTTTTTTGTTTTTTTTGAGACAGGGTTTCTCTATTTAGCTTGGCTGTTCTGGAACTCTCTCTGTAGACCAGGCTGGCTTCGAACAAAGAGCAGCCTCTTCTACCTCTTGAGTACTGGGATTACCGGTGTGCACCATCACCACTAATTTATAGTTTTTTTTTGTTTTTTTTTTAATTTATAGTCTTTAAATAATTTGATAAACTTGTTCCTTGTAAGACACTGCTGGTGTTACTATGTAAGTTTAAATTTTTTTTTTGAGATTATAATATAATTAAATCACTTCCCCTTCCCTTTCTTCCCTCCAAACACTCCCATGGTACTACATTTTCTTTATTGTAGAAGATTTACCTCATATACTATTGTCTGATTTTGCTTTTTCTCTCCTCAAACGCTTCCAGGTTCTGCCCGTCACCCACCAAGTGCCATGGTGGGTGGGCGTGTCTGTCTGTCTGTCTCTCTACAACAAACAAAAAACCCATACAAAAATGGAAACCAGAATGTACAAACAAAAGACCAGTAAGACAGAATGTCTAAAAAAACAAAATGAGCCAAAAAGTATACAAAAAGACCATTCTACTCCTAAGCATGGGGCCTACCCTCGTGTGGTTAGTATACTCAGCTATACGCCATTGGATAAAACTAATTTTTCCTTTGCCATTATGTATCAATTGCAGATAGCTTCTTGTTTAGGGGTGGGAGCCCATGTCCACTTCCCCCTCTCAGCATTGGGACCCCTTCTGGCTTGAACCTGTGCAAACCCTGTGTTTGCTGCAATGGTCTCTCTGAGTTATATGTGTATTAGAAATGTGTATGCAAGACAAGTTCCTTGGAATCACCCATTGCATAGCCTCATGTAATCTTTCCATACCTCATTCCACATACATCATTTTTGAACTCCAAGGGGACAGGTGTGATAAAGACATCCCATTTGTGACTTAGTGTTCCAAAGTCTCACTCTCTACACATTGTCCAGTTGTGGGTCTCCGTGTTAGTTATTTACTGCAAAGAGAAGTGTCTTTGGTGATGGCTGACGGAGGCACTGCTCTACGGGTATAGTCGAAAGTCATTAGTAGGCTGTATTCGTTGTTTCTCTGTTGTTGTGATGAAACACCATATCCAAGGTTACTTTTTTCTTTCTTTCTTTTTTTTTTTTTTTTTTCCTTTTTCTTTTTCTTTTTCTCGAGACAGGGTTTCTTTGTGTGGTTTTGGCGCCTGTCCTGGATCTTGCTCTGTAGACCAAGCTAGCCTCGAACTCACAGAGTTCTGGCTATACCTCCCAAGTGCTGGGATTAAAGACGTGCACCACTGCCTCCCAGCCCAAGGTTACTTTTAAAGTAAGCATTTAACTGGGGGCTTGCTTACAGTTTCAGAGGCTTAGTCTATGACCATCATGGCTGACAGCATGGTGTCAGTTGGCAGGCAAGCATGACTCTGAAGCTGTAGTAGCTAAGAGCTCACTTCTCATCCATAAAATGGAGGTAGAAAGAAGAGCGTGACCTAGCCCATTCTCAGTGACACACCTTCTTCAACAAAGCCACACATATTCCAGCAAGGTCGGAGTTCAAGAATTCAAACATAGGTGTCTGGGGGCTATTCTCATTCAAACCACCACAGAGTCATTTTATTGCTATGTTCTTTTAGCAGAATAATAGTATTAGGTTTTCTTATACTGTCTAAGAATCTTGACCATTCTAGCTGTTTGATCTGGATTTAACTTTGGTAGATCAATAAATTTATCCACTTATTTGAGGATTTCCGGTTTGATGGAGTACAGATTTTAAAGTGTATTCTCAGGATTCTGCCGATTTCCTTGATATCTGTTATATTGTACCCCTTTTCTCTCTAATTTTATTAATTTCTATCTTATTCTCACTATGTCTTAGTTAAATTGACTAGGAATTTATCAATGTTAATGATTTTCTCAAACAAGCGTTACTTTCATTAATTCCTTGTTTTTCATTTGTTTGTTTCTATTTCTTTGATTTCAGCCCAGAGTTGGATTATTGTTGTCTTCTTGTTGTGTGTTATTTCTTCTTGTTCTAGAGCTTTCAGATGTAATATTACGTACTAATATGAGATCTCTACATTTTTTTTTACGTAAGCACTTAGTGCTATGAACTTGCCTCTTAGAACTGGTTTCATTGTGTCCCATAAATTTTGTTATACTGTTACAATTTTCATTCAATTCTAAAAAGTTTTTAATTTTCTTCTTGATTTATGTCTTGACTCATTTTTCTTTCCATAGTGAGTTCTGTTTCCATGAGTTTGTATACTTTTTGTTGTTGATATGCAGCTTTAATTGATGGTGGTCAAATAAGATGCAGGTTTCACTTTTCTTGTATTTGTGGAGACTTCGAGCTTTTAGAATCTCCATGGGGAAGTCAGATGTTATTCTTTGTTCTTCCGTTATGTTATGTGGCCTTTTTACTGTTGCAGCTTTTAATATCATTTCTATTTTCTGTACATTTAGTGTTTTGTTTATTATGTGTTGTGAGGAAATTTCTTGTCCTGTCTATTTGATATTCTGTATATTCTATATATTTCTGTACATTGATAGGCATCTTCTTGGTTAGTTTGGGGAATTTTTTTTTAATTTTATTTATTTATTTATTTATTTATTTTTTGAGACAGGGTTTCTCTGAGTAGCTTTGCGCCTTTCCTGGAGCTCACTTGGTAGCCCAGGCTGGCCTCGAACTCACAGAGATCCGCCTGGCTCTGCCTCCTGAGTGCTGGGATTAAAGACATGTGCCACCACTGCCTGGCTTAGTTTGGGGAAATTTTTGTTAAAAATATTTTCTGTGTGTTTGGCTTGGATCTTATTCTTCCTCTGTCCCTATATTCATGATTCATAGATTTGATCTTTTCATAGTGTCTCAGATTTATGGATGTTTTGAGCTTTTTTTTTTTTTTTTCAATTTAACATTTTCTTTGACTGAGGTAAACATTTTTTCCACATTGTCTTCAAGACTCAAGATTCTCTCTTTCATCTCTTGTAATCTATTGGTGAGACTTACTTCTGAGGTTTTTCCTTAATATCCTAATCTTTTCTTTCCACTTGGGTTTTCTTTAGTGATTTCTATTTCTTACTTAAATTATACTTTTTCTGTCTTGAATTGTTTTCATCATTTCATTCAGCTGTTTTTACAGACTTTATTAAAGGATTTATTTATATCTTCAAGAATCTTGAGCATATTTATACTTGCTGTTTTGAAAGCCTTGTTTGTGATTCAGCTATATTGTATCTCTCAGGGCCTACTGTAATAGGATTCACTGGCTTCTGGTGGAAGCACATTGCCTCTACTGTTCGTTGTCTTTTTGTGCTTGTGTCTAGGCGGCTGGAATTGTGATGTTTGAGGTGTTTCTTGGTGCTTCTTGTTGGGTGTATGGTCTGTTCTTTGGTTGCTGTTGTCCTTCTTAGATCCTAGGCAAGTGTGGTTCCTGATAGAAATTCCTACATTTGGGTGGGTGGTATAAAGGAATGGAAATGGCTAGGACCAAAGGCTGGGAAGGGCTGTGGGAAAGAGCTAGGGGTATTGGGCAGACATCAAGATGTGGTGAGAGGGGGGGCTCCTACAAGCAGCTGCAGAAGGTCAAAAAAGAGTTTGCAAAGAGATGGAAGGGCTAGGGGTGCCCTGGGTTTGCACCTAGAGATGGAGTCCCCAGTGAATTGAGATGGGGTTGAGGAGGGGCTCTTGCAAGCATGTTGAGACTCAGAGTAAGTCTGGTGAGAGTGTAAAGGAGGTCAAGAATGAGACTAGCCCACCTGAGTAAAGTTCAGCTGTGTGTGGCCATTTGAGGGGTTGTGTCCCGGGTGGAAAGTGTTTCTGGGGATTGGTGGGTGACATAAATGGACAGAAAGCCTGAATGGAAGGCTAGAATGGCCTTGTTCCTAGTGCTCAGGAGATCACGTGAGAAGAGAGCCTGTGGGGGAATGGGTGTCTCCTTTCCACCCTCTAATTAATATGCAAATATATTCTTCCATCATTGATAGTCTGTGAAATAGCATGTGGCTGCTCTTTTCTTTAGTTCTGTTTTTGTATTTCTAGAATTTTTACCTAATTTTGGATTCTTCAGAGACCTGGGTTTGTTATATTTTGTAGCTAATACTGTAAATGTACTGGTTTAATCTAAACATTTGGTGTTGTAAATGAAAAAAGAAAGGGGAGGGATGGGAAAATAGAGACTTGACTTAAAATTCAGCATTTGATTCACTCTGTGCGTGTGTGTGTGTATGGTGTGTTTATGAGTCCAAGAGCAATGTGTATTTTTCTCAACTTTTAAATTCCTTGTTTAAGGTATAGATTATATTTCCTATGAGGCTGCCTTTTACTTGATCTTGGGATTTTTAAAAATTTGCTCTTTGTATTTTCGAATTTAGTGATCTTTTAAAGCTCCTTCCAACTCATTTTTTAATATGGCATTTATCTTAGTATGCTGTTAAGTCTAATATTTATAGTTTGAAGAGATAACAAAATGAACTTCTTCCTTTTTCTTATTAGCCTTACTACAGAGAAGCCAGTTAAATGGACCACACTTTTAGGATAGATTGTGTTCATTTTTTTCTTTCAAATTCAAAACATTTTTCTCATTGTTTAATGACTCATTGCAGTTGATGTCCCCTCTACTGATTGAGTCGGCTGGAGGCTTCACCATGCAATTAATGCATAATGGAAACCTCCTTGACACAATTATAGTACTGGCTGTGGCCCATAGTTGGCATAGATTCTGTTTCATTTTATATAAAAGTAAGGATTCTTCTATCTTGTAGCCCTTCACTGATAAATGAAACAAAAACTAGAACTCAGCTCAACGTTTTACATTCTAACTTTTAACACTCCTACAAAAATGAAGCTAATATTATAGAAGTGTCAAGAACGTGTTACTTCTGTCAGCGTAATTGCGAGAAGATTGGTGGGACTACACAGTTATTTAGAGTAGAGTGCATAGATGGAAAGTGTTGTTCTGGTCATGG